GTGACGGTTGCGTCCTGACAGTCCTTCATCGTGTCGACACCCCGTTTCCGGGACGTCAGTTTTACGATGATTGAACGCGGAGTTGGTGCGAATTTTTAGGGCGAACGTGCCTGGCGCACGGGCGATAACCACATTCTGAACACGATTCGACCTGCATCCGTGAACACAATGGAATTCTAAGTGTCAGGTTCATCAGTGGTGGGGATGTCTCAGGCGAAACGCCCAGCTCGCCCTACCGAGACGTCTTGGGGTAGGACAGGGAGGAGTTGTTATGAGGAAGAGGGATGGATGAGGGTGACGATAGAGCGCATGAGAAAAACATAAGACGAAGAGTGGGGGAGGAACATGATGATGAGGAGGAGGAGGCGGAGGCGGAGGAGGAGGAGGCGGAGGAGGAGGAGGAGGAGGAAGGAGAAGGAGAAGGGGGAGGAGATGGAGAAGGAGGAGGAGGAGGCGGTGAAGGAGGAGGCGGAGGACGCTGCGGCGGAGGAGGAGGAGGAGGCGAAGGAAATGGTGAAGGAGGAGAAGGAGGAAGAGGAAGGAGGACGAGGAAGAGGAGGAGTGAAGAGGCGGAGGAGAAGGCCGAGGAGGAGGAGGAGAATGAGGAGAAGGAGGATGAGGAGGCGGAAGACGAGGCGGGAGAGCAGGAGGATGACGATGGTGATGATGATGATGATGATGATGATGATGATGATGATGATGATGCTGCTGATGCTGATTGTGATGATGATGGTGATGATGATGAGGATGAGGATGAGAATGAGGATGAGGATGCTGATGACTATGATGACGGTGATGATGGTGATGGTGATGCTGGTGGTGGTGATGATGCGTATGGTGCAGATGATGACGATGATCATGATGCTGATGATGACGATCATGATGCTATTGACGATGCTATTGACGCTGCTGGTGCTGCTGATGCTGATGCTGATGCCGATGCTGATGATGATGATGCTGATGATGATGATGATGATGATGGTGACGGTGATGGTGCTAATGATACTGATCATGGTGATGCTGATAACGATGATGATGATGATGATGATGATGATGATGATGATGATGATGATGATGATGATGCTGATGATGATGATGCTGGTGCTGCTGATGATGACGATGATGATGTTGATGGTGATGATGATGATGATGATGATGATGATGATGCTTTATGGTGATGATGCCGATGACGTGGATTAGGGTGAGGATGATCGTGATTATGATGACGATGATGATGATGATGATGATGATGATGATGATGATGGTGATTACGATGATTATGCTGATGCTGATGATGACGATGCCGCTGATGCTGACGCTGTTGGTGATGCTGACGCTGATGACGAGTATGATGATGATGATGATGACGACGGTGATGATGTTGATGATGCTAATACTCATGATGCTGATGCTGATGCTGCTGATGATGCTGCTGATGATGATGCTGATGCTGATGCTGATGCTGATGATGATGCTGATGATGATGATGATGATGATGATGATGCTGATGATGATGATGATGATGATGATGCTGATGATGATGATGATGATGATGATGATGATGATGATGATGATGATGATGATGATGATGATGATGCTGTTGATGCTGATGATGGGAATGATGTTGCTGCTGATGACGATGCTGATGATGATGACGACGATGCTGCTGATGATGATGAGGAGGAGGAGGAGGAGGAGGAGGAGGAGGATGTGTAGGGGGAACATAAGTAGAGGGATGGGGAGGCGGAGGAGGAGGAGGAGGGAGGAGGAGGAGGAGGAGGAGGAGGAGGAGAAGGAGAGAGGAGGAGGAGGAGGAGGAGGAGGAGGACGGAGATATGGAGAGAGGGGAGGGGGCGGCGGAGATGCAGGATGCGGGGGACGCTGGGGCGGAGGAGGAGGAAGAGGAGCAGGATGAGGCGAAGGAAACGGTTGAGGAGGAGGAGGAGGAGGAGGAGGAGGAGGAAGCGAAAGGAGGACGAGGAAGAGGAGGAGTGAGGAGGCAGAGGGGAAAGCGGAGGAGGAGAAGGAAAAAGGAAAAGGAGGCGGAAGAGGCGGAAGAGGAGGCGGGAGAGGATGCGGATGTTGATGATGCTGATGTTGATGGTGATGATGTTGATGATGATGATGACGATGATGATGATGATGATGATGATGATGACGATGCTGATGATGCTGATGATGATGTTGCTGATGATGATGGTGATGCTGATGATGAGGATGAGGATGAGGATGATGATGCTGGTTATGATGCTGCTGATGGCGATGATGATGATGGTGGTGGTGATGATGGTGGTGGTGGTGATGATGCTTATGATGAAACTGACGATGATGATGTTGATGATGACCCTGCTGATGATGTTGATGATGATGATGATGCTGTTAATGATGCTGATGTCGCTGATGATGATGCCGATGATGATGATGATGCTGATGATGATGATGATGATGACGTTAATGGTGATGGTGCTGATGATACTGATGATGATAATGATGCTGACGATGACGATGTCGATGATGTCCATAATGATGTTTTATGATGATGATGCTGATGCTGTGGATTATGATGAGGGTGATGATGACGATACTGATGGTGATTCTGATGACGATGATGATGCTGATAGCGATGACGACGCTTATCATGATGAGGATGATGCTGCTGATGATGAGGATGATGCTGATGCTGATTATGATGCTGATGATGACGCCTCTGGTGCTGATGATTATGATGATGATGATGATGATGATGATGATGATGATGATGAGTATGAGATGTTGCTGATGCTGATGCTGATGCTGATGATGATGATGTTGATGCGTATGATGATGATGCTGATGATGATGCTGATGGTGACGATGACGATGGCGACGACGACGACGGTGATGATGATGATGATGATGATGATGATGATGATGCTGATGATGATGATGACGATGCTGCTGACGATGATGTTTATGATAATGATGTTGATGATCCTGCTGATGATGATGGTGGTGGTTGTGATGCTGATGATGATGATAATGCTGATGGTGATGATGGCGATGTTGATGGTGATGATGATGATAATGGTGATGATGATGCTGCTGACGATGCTGATGATAATGATGATGATGATGATGATGATGATGATGATGATGCTGATGCTGATGCTGATGCTGATTATGATGATGATGGTGGTGGTGATGATGATGTGATTGGCATTCATGATGATGATTGATGATTGCTGATGATGATGATGATGATTATGATTATGATTATGATGGTGATGATGATGATGATGATGCTGAATGATGATGATGATGATGATGATGATGAATGATGATGATGAATGACGATGATATGATGATGATGATGGATGATGATGAGGATGATGATAGATGAGGATGAGGATGCTGAAATGATGATGATGATGATGAGGATGATGAGATGATGATGATGATGATGAGATGTTGAGAGAGAGGAGGAGAGGAAGGAGGAGGAGGAGGAGGAGGAGGAGGAGGAGGAGGAGGAGGAGAGAGGAGGAGGATGAGGAGAGAGGGGAGGAGGGGAAGGAGGAGGAGGAGAGAGGAGGAGGAGGAGGAGGAGGAGAGGAGGAGAAGGAGGATGAGGAGGAGGAGGAGGAGGAGGAGAGGAGGAGGGGAGGAGGGGAGAGGAGGAGGAGGAAGGAGGAGGAGGAGGAGGAGGAGGAGGAGGAGGAAAGGAGAGGAAGTAGGAGGAGGAGGAGAGAGGAGAGGAGGAGAGGAGGAGAGGAGGAGGAGGAGGATGAGGAGGAGGAGGAGGAGGAGGAGGAGGAGGAGGAAGGAGGAGGAAGAGAGGAGGAGGAGGGAGGAAGGAGGGAGGAGGAGGAGGAGGAGGAGGAGGAGGAGGAGGAGGGGAGGATAGGAGGAGGAGGGGGGGGAGGAGAGGAAGAGGAGGAGGAGAGGAGGAGGAGGAGGAGGAGGAGAGGAGAGGAGGAGGAAGGAGGAGGAGGAGGAGGAGGAGTAGGAGGAGGAGGAGGAGGAGGAGGAGGAGAGGAGGAGGGAGGAGGAGGAGGAGGAGGAGGAGGAGGAGGAGGAGGAGGAGGAGGCGGAGGAGGAGGAGGAGGAGGAGGAGGAGGAGGAGGAGGAGGAGGAGGCGGAGGAGGAGGAGGACGACGACGACCGCGGTAGGCCTCGGAGCTTTACGCGCCCACGGGCGCGCCCACGGCGGCTCCGTCGGGCTCGCCCGCAGGCGCCGCCGCCGCCGCCGCCGCCCCCTGCCGCCGCCGCCGCCGCCGCCGCCGCTGTCGTCGTCGTCGTCGTCGTCGATGTCGTCGTCGTGGTCGTCGTCGTCGTCATCATCGTCGTCGCCCTCGCCCTTCACCGTCATAGTTTTCCCCTCCTCGCCTGCTTCTCGTTATCCTCCCTCTCCTCCTCCTCGTCCTCCTCCTCCTCCTCTGCCTCATTCTGCTCCTCATCCTCCACCTCCATCTTCTCCTCCTCATCTTTATCCTCCTCGTCATCGTCGCTGTCGTCGTAGATCGATCCACTTTTGGGGCCTCCCAGAGGGCCTTTGGAGGGCTCCTGGGGACCTCGGGAGATCTCCGTCGTCCTCGTCGCCGCGGCCGCCGCCGTCGCCGCTGTCGCCGTCGGTCTCGTCGTTTTCGTCGCCGTCGCCACCACCACCACCACCACCAACACCAACACCAACACCAACACCAACACCAACACCAACACCAACACCACCAACACCAACACCAACACCAACACCAACTCCAACACCAACACCAACACCAACACCAACACCAACATCACCAACACCAGCACCAGCACCACCAACACCAACACCAACTCCAACACCACCAACACCAACACCAACACCAACACCAACACCAACACCAACACCAACTCCAACACCAACACCAACACCAACACCAACACCAACACCAACACCAACACCACCAGTGCCGCGAGTAGCGAATGGTTGACGAGGAGGAGGAGGGCCTGGCGTGCAGGAGGTGCGGGACGTGCTGCCTGGCTGGCAGGACAGCCGCGCAGAAGACGAGGAACGGCCTGACCTTCCAGCAGGGCAGGGGCGTGAAGGACCCCAGGGAGCAGCCGAGGAGGCCCCGACGTGGGCGACGCCCCAGGCCAGATCGAGGAGGGACGAGGTGCGATTTCCTTAGCGGCGCCAGCGGGTGTCTAAAACGGGAGCTGGCCCGAGCAGGAGCTGCGGAGGGGTGCCCTGGCACCGCGGAGGCTAAGGAGGCGCCGAGGCTGCAAGAGGGGCGCGGCAGGAAGCTGCCCCTCGGGCCCCTCGCCGACGTCTGCAAGGCGCACGGCGTCAGCGAGCGGCGATTGCTGGAGCTGGGGGCGGCGGCCACCAAGAGGACGCCGAAAACGAAAGGAGGGCCGAATAATGCAACAAATCCGTTGGCCGACAGGGCGCCGAAAGCAAACGGGGCGCTGCGAAAATCACCGGGGCGCCGGAAACCGCAATGGCGCCGAAAATCAAAGAGGCGTCGAAATCCGAGGGGCGCCGAGAACTAGCGACGCGCCGCAAACCACGAGGGCGCCGACAAGGGCGCCGAAACATTCAAGGGGCGCCAGGAAAACCGACAGGACGTCGAACACCAAAGGAGCGCCAAGAACCAAAGGGGCGCCGAAAGCCGAAGGGCAGCGCCGAGAGCCGAACATTGAAAACTAGAGGGGCGCCGAAAACCCGAAGGGCGCCGAAGACCAAGAGGGCGCCGAAAACCGAATCGGCACCCGAACCCAACACGGCGCCGAAAGCCAACGACGCGTCGAAAACCAAAGGGGCGCCGAGAACCGCGGAGGCGCCGAAAACCAGAAGGCCGCCGATGACCAAGGGGGCGCCGAAAACCAAAGGGGCGCCAAAGGCCAAACGGGGCGCCGAAGACCAAGGAGGCGCCGGAAACCGCGGAGACGCTGGAAACTGCGAGCGCGCCGAAAAACAACAGGGCGCCGAACACCGAAGAAGAAAAGTAGTCTCGAAGCCCTCCTTCAGCCGGGGCCCCCTGAGTCGGCGAAGCCAACGGGAGGGGGCGGGCTGGGGCTTCGACGAGCGCGCCCCCTCCCCCGTGCCCCCCCCCCCCCCCTTTGGAAAGGGGGCCCGGCTCGCCCCGGGCCCGGGTGGAGACGGGGGGGGGCTTCCGAGCCCCCTTTCAGCCAGGGGCACCTGGCCGGGACATCCGAGCGAGGAGAGGGGGGGCGCCCCCCCCCCCCCCCTCCCCCCCCCCTGCAGCCGGGCCCTTCCTGGCCCCGACGTGCCCGCGGGAGGGCGTGGGGTGTGGGGGGGGGGCGGGGCTTCGAGCTAGGGCTCCCATATAATAGGGAGTGCGCCACGGGCGCGCTTTTGCGCGCGTCGGCTCGCCGCCCGCGGGCCGGCCGCGCGGCCCGGCGCTTCGAAGGGCGCGAGGGGGATTCAAGTGGCGCGCGGAAGCGTGTGAAACTGTTGGAATTTGCGCGGGAGATATTGCTCCAGATGTTCGGCGCCAGCGTAGAGCAGGTTCCGCGCGCCCCGTGGCGCGACGCGCAGTGCGGTGGCTCATTGATCCTCCTTGGGCGTCGCCGTGGGACGCTTAGGTTTTCGCGGTCCTCGCGGCCGATTGATGGGGGGACCTCGGGTTTCAGATGGGTTCTGGCATTGGGAACTGGGCAGCTCGGCTTTTGCGCGCAAGATGGCAATTAAGAATTGGATTCGTTTAGGAAACGAATGCGCATCATTTGCGCAACGGAAGAATGGGAACGCCGCGTTTCTATTGTCTTGCGGTTGCACGTGCTGGGGCACCGCGTGTTGTTGTTGTTGTTGGTGTTGTTGTTGTTGTTGTTGTTGTTGTTGTTGCTGCTGTTGTTGTTGTTGTTGTTGTTGTTGTTGTTGTTGTTTGGTTTTTTTGTTGTTGCAAGAGTTGAGGAATCTGCGTCTTGGTTAATTTGATCTTAACGCACTAGGAGACATACTTGCTGTGATGTGCATTCTGTATATATCTATATATGTGTCTTTGAATATGTTGGAACCCTTGTGCTGTGTGTTACATCTCCTGCTGGAAGTACTGCAGCTTTCCGTTTTTTTTGTGTGGTGGTGGTGGGGGGACAGGGGGGTTCTACCTGTTTCGTGTGTGCGTGTACGACGTATTTATGTATGTTTGTATAGATGTATGTATGTATGTATGTATGTATGTATGTATGTATGTATGTATGTATGTATGTATGTATGTATGTATGTATGTATGTATGTATGTATGTATGTGTATATATATATACACGCGCACGCATTCATTGTTTAGAAATATAGGTGTACATTAAACATGTTCCGGTGGAATTCGTAGAGTACGCGTTTTTGTTATGCACTTCCAGTTGGAAGCATCGGAAACACCGTGCTTTTTGTTGTTGTCTCCGCGCGCCGTTGAAACCCGCCCGTGGAATTCCAATCCTGCCCTTTGGGTTCGAAACCCGTTGCGTTCTTATTGAATGTGTTTGGGGATCCTGCCCAAATCAGATAGGAATCCTGTAGATCCGAGTTCCGCTGCCTACACAACTAGAGTTCTACAATAAAAAAAGACATCCAGAGGGCGCGGAATCCGACTTGGGCAAAATGAGATAACATGTGAACTTTCTTGGGATCATGTAGAAATTTTTTGGATGCGCGACTAGGGCAAAATCTGATGACATTTGAATTTCGTTGGGAACGTATAGACAATGCTGTGGATGCGCGATGTGTTTCAAATTCTGTTAGAATGAATCCAGGAGCCACTTAAATCCAATGCAAAAATAGAAAGGGGAAGAGCGGTCGAGAGAGAAAGAGGAAGGAGGGAGAGAAACAAACATATACTGAAATAGTGCAAGAGAGAGAGAGAGAGAGAGAGAGAAACAAAAATTATCCTGGCAAAGCAACCTAACAGCGATGTGTAGGAGCATATCTGGAAGCATTCCCCTTACGATTCAGATGAGAATCCAGTTGTAGAATTCTGTTGTTCTCGCAGTCGTAGTCGCATTCGCGATGACAGTCGCAGTGGCAACGGCAGTCACAGTCACAGCCTCAGCCTCAGCCTGCCTCAGCCTCAGCCTCAGCCTGCCTCAGCCTCAGCCTGCCTCAGCCTCAGCCTCAGCCTCAGCCTCAGCCTCAGTCTGCCTTCAGCCTCGGCGTCAGCCTCAGGCTGCCTCAGCCTCAGCCTGCATCAGCCTCAGCCTCAGCCTCAGCCTGCCTCAGCATCAGCCTGCCTCAGCCTCAGCCTCAGCCTGCCTCAGCCTCAGCCTCAGCCTGCTTCAGCCTCAGCCTCAGTCTGCCTTCAGCCTCGGCCTCAGCCTCAGCCTGCCTCAGCCTGCCTCAGCCTCAGCATCAGCCTGCCTCAGCATTCAAAATGTGGCCCGGGAATGGAGTTCTGGGAACTCGAAGAACACGAAGTGGCCTACAGTTGGCTCCGGGCATTCAAAATCATGCCCGGAATGGAGTTCTGGGAACTCGAAGACACGAAGTGGCCTACAGTTGGCTCCGGCATCCAAAATGTGGCCCGGGAATGGAGTTCTGGGAACTCGAAGACCACGAAGTGGCCTACAGTTGGCTCTGGGCATCCAAAATGTGGCCCGGGAATGGAGTTCGGGGAAGTCGAAGACCACGAAGTGGCCTACAGTTGGCTCCGGGCATTCAAAATGTGGCCCGGGAATGGAGTTCCAGCAGCGCCAAGAGCGATTTTGCGAGGATGTCCCAAGCGATTTCGGCTTCGGCGGCAGCCGCCCCGGGTCCCGCCCAGACCCCCCTGAGGAGTCATGATGCTCTCTTTTGACACCACTAGAAACCTATCAGTCTTCGCTGTTAGGTAAAAAGAGAGGCAGGAACAGAGGAAGCAGGAACACACACAAACCACCTAGACAAACATAGCACCCTTATTGAGGCCCCTTCACCCATTTCGGCACACCCGTCTTCGAATCGTGCCACATAGTAAGCTCCACTTACCCGGTTCCATCCCCCCCGCGGCGGTGTGTGTGTGTGTTTGTATGTATGTATGTATGTTTGTTTGTTTGTTTGTGTGTTTGTTTGTTTGTGTATTTGTTTGTGTGTTTGTTTGTGTTTGTTTGTTTGTGTGTGTCGTTTGTTTGTGTGCTTGTTTTGTGTGTTTGTGTGCGAGAGGACAAGTGAGATTCTCAAACGAGTACGGGCTAGTATGACTACCCACGCCCTGCGCTACACGCGGTTGCACAGGGTTGGGCCGTTCGTCAGGCCGATATTCTAACGGTTTGGGAGGCTTTTGGGGGGCTCCAGGGGCCTCCGTCGTCTTCGTCGTCGTCGTCGTCGTCGTCGTCGCTCTCGCCGTCGTCGTTGTCGTCGTCGCCGTCGCCGTCGTCGCCGTCGTCGTCGCCGCCGGGCAGGCCCCTCGATCACGCTGGCGCCCGTCTCTTTGGAAGAGGAGGACGAGAAGGAGGCCGGGCCGCTGCGTGGAGGGGAGGGGGAGGAGCAGGAGGAGGAAGAGGTGGAGGAGGAGGACGAGGACGACAACGAGGACGAAGACGAGGACGAGGACGAGGAAGAGGAGGACGACGAGGAGGAGAAGGACGAGGAGGAGGAGGAAGAGGAGGAGGATGAGGAGGAGGAAGAGGAGGAAGAGGAGGAAGAGGAAGGGTTGGTGGAGGAGGAGGTGGAGGAGGAGGAGGAGGAGGGGGAGGCGAATGATGAGGAGGAGGATGAGGAGGAGGAGGAGGAAGAGGAGGAGGGAGAGGAGGAGGAGGAGGAGGAGGAGGAGGAGGCGGAGGCGGAGGAGGAGGAGGAGGAGGAGGAACCAGAGGAACAAGAGGAAGCATTCAACGCAGAGTTGCAATAATAATCGTAGTAATAATACAAGATTCAGAATAATACTGATGATACAATATCGGGGGGACGAGGGAACCCAATGCAACCGATTCTCTTTCCGCCGAAGTGTCTGGTCTCCAGCTGGCACTTGCTGTGTTCGCTGCCCTGCTGGGGACAGGCGATCTTTCTCAACTCGGAGTCCCAAATTTCAGGCGTAATGTGTGCTACAGGTATCTGCATTGAGTGAGGCTCCATCGGCAGGAACTGAAGAGATGTGCGGGGAGGCGGCCTTTGCGGTCAAACCGAGTCCAAATACATAACATATCGATTATAGTCAGAAGAAGTTGAAGGCGATTGTAAAGAATCATATCAATACTACTAAGACTAATACTACAACTAATGCTGATACGAAGACTAAGCATACTAATGCGCATCATCGTAGTCATAGTAATAATGACATGGGTATACTACTAATACACTTTAAATAACAGTAATACTACGAGTCAGATGAATAGTAACATCAATAATACTACGAACGATACGGATACCATTAATACATACTAGTACGACTCGCGATAACAAAAACACAAGACACATCATATTAAGAAGACGAACGATACTAGTAATATATACGTATATATATAATTCAGAAGGTTACACGGGTAATAATAACATTCGTAATCGTAATACTAATACAATAATCTTAAGCGTGCTAATAATATTCGGACGAGGAGGAGGTAGAGGAGGAGGAGGCGGAGGAGGAGGAGGAGGGGGAGGCGGAGAGGAGGAGGAGGAGGACGAGGAGGAGGAGGAGGAGGAGGAGGAGGAGGGAAGAAGGGAGGGAGAGAGGGTGGGAGGGAGGGAGGAGGAGGACGAGGAGGAGGAGGAGTAGGAGGAGGAGGAGGAGGAGGAGGAGGAGGAGGAGGAGGAGGAGGAGGAGGGGAAACACACAATAACATTGGTATTACTAATACGAATACGTTTATTAATCTTAGCACTAGCAATACTACGACTAAGACAAATAATGACAACCCCCAGAGGAATATTAAGACGAACGATACGAATAATACTACTACTGAGAAGAAGACTAAGGATACCAATACTAACACGAATAATAATACGACTAATACTATTAGCACGGATACTTATAGCAATAACAATAGCCCTAGACATAATGATAATACTCAGAAGAGCCATTGTAATAATACTGGTAATAGTACTACTAATACTATTACTACGAACACCAATACTACTACGACGTAAACAGGGCAGTAACAATATTAATAATGTGAAGAAGCGGCGAAGAAACATACGAAACGTAGTGACCATACTAATAAGAAGAGGAGGAGGAGGACGAGGACGAGGACGAGGACGAGCACGAGCACGAGGATGAGGATTAGGACGAGGACGAGGACGAGGACGAGGTCGAGGAGGAGGAGGAGTTGGAGAAGGAGGAGGAGGAAGAGGAGGAGGAGGATCAGGGGGAGGATGATGGTCATGATGATGATGATGATGATGATGATGATGATGATGATGATGATGATGATGATGATGATGATGATGATGATGATGATGATGATGATGATGATCAGGAGGAGGAGGAGGAGGAGGAGGAGGAGGAGGAGGAGGAGGAGGAAAAGGAAGAGGAGGAAGAGGAGGAGGCGGAGGAGGAGGCGGAGGAGGAGGGGGGAGGAGGAGGAAGAGGATGAGGAAGAGGAGGAGGAGGAGGAGGAGGAGGAGGTGCAGGAGGGGAAGGAGGGGAAGGAGGGGGAGGAGGAAGAGGAGTTGGAGGAGAAGGAGGAGGAGAAGGAGGAGGCACTGGAGGCACCGGAGGACGCGAAAAATTCGAACCTAATTCGAAAACACTACGCGGGGAAGGTACCAGGGTCGTCCCGAACATCCTTCCTCGCGCGCTGCTCCTCACTCGCCTGGCCCAGGGACTGCGCCTCCTCCCGCGTCAGCCCGCAGAGCGCCATTCCTCTCTCCGCGTCGACGCCGCCGCCCTCTCTCTGCGGGGCGGAGAGCTGGGAGCTCGGGAGGACCCGGCAGACCCTGGGGCCAGGCGGCGAAAAAGGGGGCCCCTTTCAGCCCTGGCTTCCACCGACTTCGACGGTTGGGGGGGTGAGATCGCAGTGGAACGGAGATCCCTCCTCCGGAATATCGGTTTCGGTTTCGTGTTCGTGTCGTGCGTGCGGGCGAGGCGAAGCTGCGCGGGTGCGCGAGAGGAATGATCCCGCCGTAGCTGGGAATCGGACGCAAAAGTCTGGCCCTCCTTTGGGCGCGCGGTGGCCCCGCCGTGGTGTCTCGCGGTGTCCCGATGGTGTCCTGCGGTGCCTCGCCGTGGGCGTGTCCCTATGGTGTCTCTTGGCGTCCCGTGGTGTCCCGTGGTGTCCCGCGGTGTCCCGCCGTGGCGTCCCGATGGCGTCCCGATCGATATTGAGAACGATCGTGAGATTGATAACGACCGAGATGTGGTGATATTGGTAGTGAGATCGATCGTTGAATCGATAGTGAAGTCGGTCGTGACATCGGTAGTTGAATCGATCTTACGAGCGGCAGTGAGATCGATAGATCGATAGTTGCATCGATCGTGCAATCGATAGTCAGGTCGATAGTGCGATGTGCAATCGATAGTGAGGTCGATCTTGCGATCGATTGCGAGATCGACAGTGAAACCGATCTTGGGATCGATTGTGAGCTTGATTGTGAGATCGATTGAGATCGCTTCAGACATCGAACGTGACATCGATCGTGAGATCGGTCGAGTGAGATCGGTAGTCAGACTGATCGTAAGATCGGCAGTGAGATCGATTGTGAGATCGACTGTGGGATCGATGCCGGGATCCGTCGAGTGAGATCGATAGTGAGATCAGTTGCCAGCAGTTGTTTTTTCGCCCCCCCAACGTCCTTATCACCCGAAGGGTGCTCGCACAGGTATCAGGAGGGGTCAAACACGCAGACACGAATAATCGTCGATTGTCCGGAAAAACTGGGAAAAGATGGGAAGTGGGGGGGAAGACGAAAATCAAGAAAAGATGAGAAGTTATGGGGGATCCCTGGCGGCGCCTCCGGCGCCGCCCCTGGCGCGCTCCGCGCGCCGGGGAGGGGGCTCCGGTGCGGATCCGAGACATCCGCGCGGGCCTCGAAGAGTTTAGACATGTCGGGCCCCCCGCGGGAGCGAGGAGGGAGGCCCCTCCTGGGGCCATCCCGGAGGCGGCGAGAGCACGGGCCCGAGGGGCCCCTGGGATGGCATTCGGCCCAGGACGCGGGGCTCGGGAGCACGGAGTTGTCAAAGACAGGGGCACGAACAATGTCATGAATAATACAGATTGGGAGGTCCGCGCGGATCTCTCGCATCGGCGCTGGGACCCCCTGGCGGCGCCTCTGGCGCCACCCCTCGCGGATCGAGGTCTCGCGGCGCCACGCTTCGAACCCATCACACTTCACTGGCGGTGAAAAAGGGTGCCCGTCTCTCTTCTCCGCAGAGCTGGCACTCCTTCGTAGCCTCTGGGCTATGCTCAAAGACTCGGTGTTGTGGCCGATAACATTAGCAACGCACGCCGAGAGGGCAGCCTTGTGGGTCCAAATCGTGGGCCCGTTCTTTGAAAGCAGCTGCTGGAGGGGCCCCATAGAAGACAGGCCCGCTCCACTCACGAAGGTCGAGCTGCTTGACCTGCGCTTACTTCCCGACAGTTTTGCGCACAACCCCTTTGACCAGGAGCTCCAAAAACTTCGGCGAAACACCCTTTTTGGGCCAAGGCCGACCCAGGCCATCCTGGAGCGAGAACCTGTCAAGGTCGAAAGTCCAGCGGATCCTGGCTGGGCATCAGGGAGGGGGCAGCGACGGGCTTTCGCACCTGGCCCCACGGAGCCTTCCTAGCCTGGACCTCGAGCGCGTCGTGGACACAGGACCGAAGGACAAATTCTGACATTGAGTTGGCCCAGATGACCCCGACGAGCTCCTTAACAGCCGAACTCATTCCACCACAAGCGGGTCACGAGCCCACAGACGGGCCGCCGAAAGAAAGCGACAGCCGAGGGAGGTCCCCGCCCCGAGAGGTCCCGAGGACCTGGCCGCTTGGATCCGCAGCTTGCGGAGGGTGGTGGTGGGGATTCTCAGGATGTGGGATCCTCGAGGAAGGGGAGGAGGAGGAGGAGGAGGAGGAGGAGGAGGAGGAGGAGGAGGAGGAGGAGGAGGAGGAGGGAGAGGAGGAGGAGGAGGAGGAGGAGGAGGAAGCCTGGTGTCAGGCTGGGCCTGTCTGAGCAGACGCCGCCACTCGGGCGGCCTGCGTGCCGGCTCCCCGAGCCCTGCCGTCGTTCGAGTCGCCGCCGAGGTCGCGGCGCGCGATCACGAGCTTGCGTCCAGCTTCTCGGGGGCGGCAAAGAGGGGGGTGATGACTGGGGGGGGTTGGATATCATGGCGGGGGCCATGATATTTCCCCAGATTTCATGGCGCCTCTTCTTCTTTCATTACGTCCCCGGCCCCCCCGCTGGGCCGCGCAGATGCCGCCGGTCATGATTTGCACCCCCCCTCTTGGACACCCCCCTCTTGGCCGCTCCCGAGCCTCAACCGAGCATCCTGTACAGTGGAGGCCCATGCCAAGAAACGCCCTGCCTGCCTCCAGGGTGCCCTGGGTTTCTCGGGTTTCGATGGTCTTGCGATGGAAAGCGATGGAAAGGATCGATCGATCTTCGATCCCAGAGAAAGAGGGGAGGGGTTCCATCGATGAGGAGAAATCGGGATCGAGTCGTAGCAGGGCGGAGGAGGAGTAGAAGGAGGAGGACGTTTTCGATTACATGGTTTGCGTGTTTCTTTGTCTGCCTTCGGGAGCCCCGCTTCGGTCAAGTATTTGTCCAGGACGAAAGTTTGGCCAGGGTGGACCCAGGGATCACTTCACTGACCGTTTTGTAAAGGAGGTCAGGGCATTTGAGCGTTTCCGGCCCTTTTCGTGCCTACAGGGAGGGATTAGTGATTAGAATGAAGATGAAGATAATGAGGGTGATGATGCTGCTGACGACGGCGACGGCAATGATGATGATCGAGATGGCAATGGTGATGGTGATGATGAATCTGCTCATAATTATGCTGGTGTTGCTGATGATGAAATTGTTGATCCTGACGATGGCGATGGTGAGGACGATGAGGAGTATGAACATGCAGATGATGAGGGTGATGCTGACGATGCTGATGGTGATTATGGTCATGATGATTACGGTGGTGGCGATGGGGACGCCGAAGATGATGCGGATGACAATGACGAGAATAAGGATGAAGACGATGAGGATGATGCTTGTGATGATGAGTGGTTATGATGGCGCTGGTGATGATGATGCAGAGGATGAGGAAGATGAGGAAGATGAAGATGAGGATGATTACGAGGATGAGGACGAGGACGAGGATGAGGATGGTAATCACGATGATGATGACGATGACGATGATGATGATGATGATGATGATGATCATAATGATTATACTTGTGAGAATGATGATGTAGATGATTCTGATGAAGATGATGACGACGATGATGATGCTGCCGTTGCTGATTTCGATGCTGATAATGGTTGCGATGACGACGCTGACGACGACGTCGATGCTGACGTTGCCGATGATGACGACAATGATGATGACGACGATGATGATGACTATGACAATGAGGAGGAGGAGGAGGAGGAGGAGGAGGAGGAGGAGGGTGTTGTTGATGATGACGATGATGCATATTGTGATGCTGATGATGCTGATGATGATGTTGATGATGCTGATGATGATGATGAGATGGTGAGGCTGTTGTTGTTGTTGTGGTTGGTGTTGTTGTTGCTGCTGCTGATGCTGGTTATGATGACGACGATGATGATGATGATGATGATGCCGGTATTGTTGATATTACTGCTGCTGGTACTGATGATGATGTTGATGCCGATGATGATGATAATGATGATGAGGATGATGTTGATGATGACGTTGACTATTCTACTGATGATGATGCTAATGTTGCTGATGCTGATTACGATGCCGACGCCGATGATGAAGCTGATGGTGCTGATACTGATATTGATGATGCTGATGCTGATGATAATGGTAATGATTATGATGATGCTGATGATGATGATGTTGAAACAATGATGACGGTCATGATAAAACTGGTGATGCTGATAATGATAATGAGGATGATGATGCTGTTGATGCTGATGATGATGATGCTGATGCTGCTGCTGCTGATGATGATGATGGTGACGATTATGATGATGTCGATGACGCTGACGGCGACGATGATGCTGATGATGATACTGATGATATTGATGATGCTGATGATGATGATGCTGATGATGAAACGGATGGTAATGATGATGCTGATGATGTTGATGATGATGGAAAGGATGATCATACAAATGATGAGGATGAGGATGATAATGAGGATGTTGACCATGATGACGATGATGATGATGATGATGATGATGATGATGATGATGATGATGATGATGATGATGAAGCCGATGATGATGATGCTGATGATGATGATGATGGTGGTGGTAATGATGCTGATGCTGGTGCTGGTGCTGATGCTGATGCTGATGCTGATGCTGATGATGATGATGATGATGATGATGATGATGATGATGATGAGGAGGAGGAGGAGGAGGAGGAGGAGGAGGAAGAGCAGGAGGAGGAGGAGGAGGAGGAGGAGGGCGTGGAGAAAGTGAATCGTCCTTCCCCCTCTTTCCTTCCCGTCCTCCCTCCGTCTGTCCCTCTCTGCCTCCCTTCCTTCTCTCCTTCTTCCACTCCTCCTTCTCCCCCTCTTCCCTAGATCCTCGAGTTGAATCCGAACCAGATCCCCCGCTATATATTTTTCTCAGAGAACCAGCCGTGCCCAAACACCTCTATCCCAGATCCGCGAGGATCGACGGCCGATCCCCGTCTCGATCCTCCCCCTGCTCTTCCCCCCTCCTCCTCCTCTTTCCCCCTGTCCATGTCCTCCTCCGCCACCTTCTCCTCCCTGTCTCTCTTTCTCCCCGTCCTCCTCTCCTTCCTCCTCCTCCTCCTCCTCCTCCTCCTGCTCCTCCTCCGTGGTGGTACTTGGACGAAGCCATTGTTTTTTGGGGGAAGCTCTCCAGCAGTCCATCATTTTGCTCTACTGTTGCCCGGTCCTCGAGTGGTGCACCATGGTGGTACCCCAGGCCTCCGGTCCCACCAGCGGGGTTAGGGCGCCCCCAAACCATACCACTTCAAGCTCCTCCTCCTCCTCCTCCTTCTCCTCCTCCTCCTCCTTCTCCTCGTCCTCCTCCTCCTCCTCCTCCTCCTCCTCCTCCTCCTCCTCCTCCTCCTCCTCCTCCTCCTCCTCCTCCTCCTCCTCCTCCTCCTCCTCCTCCTCCTCCCCCTCCCCCTCCACGCCCCAGCCCGCGAGGCGAATGTCACGATCTTCGCCATCGTCGTCGGCGGCGTCGGGCTGTCCCTCATTGTCTGCTGCGTGCTGACGGAGGTATACGTGCTCAGGAGGCGGAGGGCGCGCCAGCGCGTCCTGGTCGGCGGGGTCGACAAGCTCCTCCTCCCCCTCCTTCTCCTCCTCCCCTCCCCCCCCCCCTGCTCTCTCCTCCTCCTCCTCCTCCTCCTCCTCCTCCTCCTCCTCCTCTTCCTCCTTTTGCTCCATTCCTTTCTAGCTCCTCCCTGTCGCACTCCGAGGCCGGTCGGAAGGGCGAGCTGGTCGTTTCGCCTGAGACTTCCTTACCATGTGTTATGCTCCTGAAGCCTCAAATTTGCAATAGTTTCACGGATGGAGGGCGGTCCGCTTCCAAAATGTGGTTCTCCCCTCAGCGCAGCGTACAGTCGTTTTAAGCAAATGCAAGAGGTTCACGGATGGAGAGCGGTCCTTTTTCAAAATGTTGCTCTCGCCTTGGCTCCGCGCACATTAGTTTTCAACCGTTTAGAGCTTCTCGGATGGAGGGCGGTTCGTCTGCAAAATGTTGCTCTCGCCGTAGCGCCGCGCACATTTGTCTTAAGAGCTTGCAGGAGTTTCGAAGAGTTTCATGGCTAGTGTCCCAGAAATGGTGTTGTGGCACGATGTCGGAATGTCAGGGCGCAACAGTAACGTTGATTCACGGTGTTGAAGTCCCAGGAACGTGTTCTGGCACGACTCAGGATCGTCAAGACGCAACAGTAACGGTGATTCGCGGCTTTGAAGTCCCATGGCCCCCGACCTTCTCTTCTTTGGCTCTCTGCGGCGGCGCAGCGCGCAGCTGGGGCCTGCTCTTTTCGGAGCCGCCCCGCATGTTACGCGGGGGGAGGCGGCCTGCCCTTCGGTCCTCGGGCTGCGGGCCGCCTCGTGGGGACGCCGACCTCTTCTTTGGTACGTTGCTTGTCTTCCTCTTGCTGGCAGTCCGCCCTTCGGCCCTCAGGCTGCGGGCTGCCATGCGGATGAGGCGGGTACTGTTCCTTTCCTCTGCCGTCTGTGTTGCTTGGGGATGGTGCGTTTCCCTGTCTTTCCGCATTTCCCTCATCGTTATGCTGCTCTTCTTTGCCTTGCGACTGGGCGGCTGAGGCCCCCGGACCTTCTCTCGTATTGGGGGGGCTGGCAGTTCACCTCGCGCTTGTCTTTCATGTGCTCCTCCCTGTTGTCGGCAGACTCGCCCTTCGGCCCCTGAGGGCTGCGAGCCTGCCGAGGACGAGGACGAGGAGGAGGAGGAGGAGGAGGAGGAGGAGGAGGAGGAGGACGAGGGGGAGGAGGAGGAGGAGGAGGAGGAGGAGGAGGAGGAGGAGGAGGAGGAGGAGGAGGAGGAGGGAGGAGGAGGAGGAGGAGGAGGAGGAGGAGGAGGAGGGGGAGGAGGGGGAGGAGGTGGAGAAGGCGGAGGAGGGATGTGGTCCCCGGACGTCCACGTCCCCCGAACAGGAGCGCGGGGATGGTCGCGCGCTCCGCGCGCCTGGGCGTGGGCGCAGGAGCTGCCATTCTCGAGTGTTGGTTCGCTGGGGCGTGGGGCGAGCCCCGTGTCGCGTATCGCGGGGTGCCTCCTCCTCTTCCTCCTCCTCCTCCTCCTCCTCCTCCTCATTATCTTCCTCTTCCTCTTCCTCCTCCTCCTCCTCCTCCTCCTCCTCCTCCTCCTCTTTCTCGTCCTCCTCCTCCTACTTCCTCTTCCTCATTCTTCCCCTCCTCCCTTCGTTCTCTCCCTCCCCCCTTCCTTCCTTCCTCTTCACGCGTCGCGCATCGCGGGGTGCGCGTGCGCGATGCTCAGCGTGTAGCTGGCGGCGGCAACGGCCGCTGTCGTGCAAACTCCCAACACCGTTCGCCACATGCTTCGAGTTTTGGGGCGTTCTCGTTGGCTCTTGGCGGCTTCCGGCCTCACCTCGTTTCTCCCCCTCCCCCCCCCCCTCCCAGGATCACACCTCGTCCTCCTCATCTGCTCCTCCTCCTCCTCCTCCTTCTTCTCCTCCTCCCCTTCCTCCTCCTCCTCCTCCTCCTCCTCCTCCTCCTCCTCCTCCTCCTCATCGTGTCCTGGAAGACTGCAAGATAGGAGCTTTGGTGCAGCTGCATGTCTTGCCGACAGTTTCGATAGAAGTGGTGGGTGGGAGAACGGATGATATTTTCAGGAGTCAAAGGGCGTAGACGGGAGCTCCAACAGCAGGCATGCTTGCGAGAGTATCCATAGAGGGCACGGCAGCGTGGTGCCAATAAAAATGGCTAAGGCAGTCGGTGGGAATATGCGTGGGTTCTCGTAAGTTGTGCCTGGCAGCTTGGAGCGACATTATCTTTACTTTTGCCGAGACTTATCTTGAGGCTATCCGAATGATGGCTGAATGGGAGTCCCAATGCAAGAACCATCACTTCTTGAGGCTGAAAAATCAAGTAGGGGCATCATCAGATCGTCGAACACTTGGTATCCGGAGGCGAATTTCAGAGACTTAGACAACTACGTGTGGAAGATAGTTCCGTCTCTCCGAATCCTAGGGCCCATCACCTGCTGCAATAGGAGCGCCGATGAAGACATTGCGAACACGGAACTGACCATAAGAAAGGTGTTGACGAACACCTTGATCCATATTCACGCTAGGGTTAAGATGCTGGACTCCGTAGTGGGCGCAATCCTGAGAGCCTCTAGTGCCTCGTGGGCCCCCAGCAACAGGGCAGCCAAGATAGTGGATGTCCTTTAGTTTAGAATGAGCTGCTGGATGAGTAGGAGCCGCAAGCGCTTCGAAGAGGCCCCAGAGGTGCACAATTCTAGGAGAGCCCGTCAGGTCAGGGACGTGCCACGGACCCAGCGGAGTAGAATTCGTGCCGTGGCAAGTCCCAGCCGGTGGAGCCACCTCTAGCGTCATCAGAGCGATTGGCCTGCGGTTCTGACGACGGCCCAAGGTCTTGACTGGGTCTCCCCAAATCGGCTTGTGTGGGATGCTCCGAGCTCTCTTTCCTCCAAGACCTTACACTAAGTCTGCCTGGGGCCGCGTCCTTAGGTGGGACCAAATAGGCTGGACTCAGAAATTTAACCCAAGGCTCGAGAGACGCTCAGCGTCTCTGGGAGCTTGCAGGTCTGCTTTTGAGAGAGGAAAAGATCAGGGTGCACGAGCCTCCCTAGTCTGATGCGCTGTACTGTGTTGCCCGCCACCCCAAGGGCGAGTCCTATCGTATCGTATTCTCCTCCTCCTCTTTCTCATCCTCCTCCTCCCCCTCCTCCTCCTCCTCCGTAGCCATTTTGGCTCAAGGTTTTGGTTTCCCCTGGGAACAAAGTGGATACCGCTAGTCCGCGGCCAGCTTTCATCCTTCGCCTGGTTCGCCCCAGGCAGAGCGGTGCGTGGTCCGCCCCACGCATCGCAGCTTGCGGCACGGCCTCCCAGCACAGGAGCCCGTGGCCCAGTCTCCTGCGTGCGCCATGGCTCCTCGGAGGGTTGCTGCTGACGAACCGTGGATATGCAAGTCGTGTGTCCACTCTGTCACTGGCAAGCCGTGGTTCAATGCAGGAGGTACGTTGTACTGCAAGCAGTGTCAGCTTCATAAGTCGGTGGTGTTCAAAGAGTACAAACGAGGAAAGGCCCCTAGTGTCCATGCTGCGGGATCCAAGAGCCCCAGCCAAGTGGACAAAGGCCTCGCCGCTCGGTGTGCACAGCTCGAAGAACAGGTCAAGAGGCTCACCGCAGAGAAGGCTGAGCCATCACCGCCACCACCATGGGCGCAGTCACAGCCTGACGGAGCTGAAGAGAAACGCAAGCGCATCAAGGAGCTGGACTCCATCATGCGCCTGCTCTCCTCCGACAGGGATGCGACGGTGCTGGCCAATTACAAAAAGGAGAAGGAGACCTTGGAGCGGGAACTGTTTGATGGACGCCCGATTGAGGACCAGGCTCGATCGCTGGCGGCGAAGCTCCAGCACGCGAGGTCCCACGAGTCCAGCGTGCGCAGGGCGGTCGAGGAGCAGAGAGCCAAGATCCTGGAGCTGCAGGGACACTTGGACAAGGCTGAGGCCAAGCTCGTGGAGGCGTCCGCTGAGGTGGTTAGGCTCGAGGAGGATACGCGCAAAGCCATGTCTCAGGCCCGCCCGCCAGAGCAGGAAAGGCCGCCCACGCTCCATGAGATGCTTCCTGGGTTCGCGGTGTCGGTGGAACAGTTGGGGCGTGTTGCTAGTACTCTGGGCTTGGGGCCTGATCTTACGGCAGGGCTACAAGCTATGGCGGAGACGGTCACCAAGCTGCAGCAGGCGCCGCAGGCAAAGCCACCCTCGCCCCATGCCCCAGAGCCCCCTGCACAAGAGCCTGAAGACGACGAAATTTCAGACATCGAGATGGGGGAGGAAGACATGCGGGCCACGCTCAATGCTGCAGGAATCCCTACGGACGAGAACGTCTCCGCCGAGGCAGTCACGGAGAGGTTCAAGAGGTTCCAGTCGACGTACATTGAGGCGTGCAAGAGGGCTCGCAAACAATAGATTCGTCAGCATCGGGATTGGAATGTTACTCAGTTCTGCAGCAGCAATGGCGGCAAGCAATGATGTGTCCCCTCGAAGCGGGGTATCAGCTTCACTCGCGACTCCAGGGAGGACTACGGCGTCGGCGGCGAGTACTACACCGCGGGCAAGTGTCTCCTGGGATGTGTCTGAGGTTACTGGCACGCGTCGGCTACCCCCAGGGAGGCTCACTCGGCTTGCCGAGCAGAGGCCTGAGGCGGAACCCCGTGCATCGTGTACGTCGCGGGGGGCGGCTGCGTCTACGCCATCGGCACATGTCTCTTGGGATGAGAATTGTATTGGCACGAGTTGGCTACCCTCAGCAATGCTCACTCGGCCTGCCGAGCAGAGTGCGGAGGTGGAACCCCGTGCATCGTGTACCCTGCAGAGTGCGGCTTCTGCTTCGCAGACGGGGTGTGCACCGATGACATTCTCAGCCCCAGGAGGTACGCACTGCTCACCGTCCGTCGACCGCGGGCAAGCAGCAATGAGGACAACTGAGGGCGGAGAGTACCGACCGTGGGAGGCCAGGGGCCCCCACGGCACGCACCACTCACCCTCTTCGCCTCGATGTGAGCCTGCCCCGACATCGGACGGCAGAGGGTACCGACCTACTGGGGCCATGGTGGGATCAAACATGGACGGGGAGTACGACCCGTTCGAGTTTCTTGACGCAGATCGAGAAGCTGACGACCTCTTCCCCACTATTTGCCCGAACCCCTTGGAAATACGTCAGTCAGAACGCGAGGAGGCTGCAGGAGCAGCCTCTTCATCTCCCTCCGCCCCCGCTGATGAACATTTGGATCTCGGACGTGGTAGCATGAGCGTCGGGTCCGATATATCTAAGACGGGCGAGTTGGAGGGAAAATCTTCTTCACCCGCCATTGCGGGAACAATTATGTCGGTGAATGCAGGCTCCTTCGGGCCATTGTTCGACTTCCTGGCTGTTGCGAAGGCCAAGATCATCTGTGCACAGGAGACGAGGATTGTGGAGTCACGCCTCGGGGAGTTCCAGCACCGAGCCAAGGACCTCGGCCTCCACGGGATGTGGGCACCAGCCCTGGCGACCAACGCCAGGGGCCCGCAGGCCAATCACTGCGGGGTCGCCATACTGGTGCCCACGAACGTGATGATCACGAAGCCTCCTGACGGCGACCCCATCATCTACCCAGGCAGAGCGGTTGCCAGCTTTGTCAATTGGGGCGTTCCTGGGGGGGTGATTGTGGTCAGTGCATACTTGGTGACGAGCATTGGGCTGACGGGTGAGAACCTTTCCATTCTGTGGGCCATAGCGCAGAGAGTTGCGACCTGGAATGCTGCGGGTTTCGATTGGATCTTAGCAGGCGACTGGAATTCTGACATAGCAGCTCTGAATGCGAGGAGGTGGATTGAGTCTCTTGCTGGGTTGTCTTACACGCCAGCGTCGGCCACGTGCTGCAAGGAGGACGGCAAGTCTACGATCGATTACTTCATCGCGCGTGCAAATCTGTCGTCTAGGCTAGGGGCTGCAGTGGTGGAAGATATGTACGGCACAATACCACCCCCGCATTACCCAGTTAGTATCGACCTCCTGGGCAAAGATAGGCCAGCATGGTGTCTCGTGCCAGACGAGCCAAGGGCTTTCCCTGTTACTCCGCCATGTGGGTGCGCCAGGTTCCCGTACCCGTGGGAGGCAGTGGACCATGTTTTTCTGGAAGTCAAGGAGGTTGCAGATTTGGCCCTGCTGTGGGGCACAGTCCTGGACGGTATCGATTTCGAGCTGGCAGGGAGGTATGACAAGGTTGACAAGGACGCGGCCCCTTTCGTCGGCAGGTCAGGCCCTCCACGTTTCAAGTGGAAGCTGCTGGCATGGGAACCTCCGCGTCGGCGTACGTACCGCGAGCCCAAGGTCTATGCTTGGGCGACGGCCAAGAGATGGTGTCAGCATCTCAGGTCGGAGCGGGACCGACTAGGCAGGTTTTGTCAGCGGTTACAGTTGGCTTCAGTGGTCTGCCAGCTAACGCCCCTGCAGTACACCAAGGTGTTGCAGGCCTTCTACGAGGTGGGCCAATATTGCCGCAGGATCGCCCGCGACAAGAAGACATGTCACTACCTTGATCAGGACACCGTAGACTTCCTGCTGCGGGGCCTGGGCATGATCGGCGATGCTGACTTCGACTCGGGCCTGGACAACATCACGAGGAAGGCCGATGATGTGCTGAAGGCAGCGAGAGGGGCCTCGGAGAAGGCTTGGCGAGGCTGGGCCAAGCAGGCTTTCTTAGGTGGGGCCAGTCGGGCCCATGCAGCCTCCAAGGTGCGCGGCAAGCAGGAGCAGCTCAATTTCGACGTGAACGCGCAGCCGTACCTGCTGGCAAACCACACCCTTGACGTGTGGGAGGGAGTATGGCGGCATCACGACCTTTTGCCCCCAGGGCTGCCGCCAGGCCACGAGAGCTGGCCTGCTCTGCCCGAGCTCGACCACCAGCAAGTGCGGGCTGTCATTCGCAAGTTTTCGGCGCGGACGGCAGCTGGGCCGAGCAGAATTTCACCCAGATGCCTGGACGCTCTGTCGGACCAAGCGCTCGAGCGCATGGCCAAGATGTTTATGGTTTTCGAGCAGTGGCTGTCCTGGCCTCCTGAGCGGGTTTACAGTGAAATGGTTCGTTTACCCAAACCTGACGGGGACACACGATTGATTGTTCTATCTCACGCTTTGGTGCGTATCTGGGGCAAGCTCAGGAGACCAGTTTCGGCAGCGTGGCAGGCTGGCTACCAGTGCGACCAGATGTGGGGCACGAGAGCGGGCCACACGTCTACGGACTCGGCGTTTGATCATAATATTCAGCAGGAGGTTGCGCAGTTGTTGGGGGAACAGACATGCACGATCTTGCTTGATATGAGCAAGTGTTACGACATGGTGGACCCACATGCGTTGCTCCGAGAAGGCCAGGCTCTGGGGTTTCCACTACGTCTGCTGTGGCTCCTCATTCAGAGCTACCAACAGCCCCGTCGTATAAGGGCCTTTGGGAGTGTATCCAGAGGGTTTCGGTCCTTCCAGGGGATCCTAGCTGGGTGTACTCACGCTACGTACGCCTTGTACTTGCTTACCTATAGGTCGGTGCAGAGGGTCTCGAAGGTCTCCCCCACGGTGACCCCGAGGACGCTCATGGACGACATTGGGCTCCAACATACCTCCCAGGACCCCACGGAGGCCAAGTGCCTTGCGCTGGCGGCGAGGGGTTTCATCCAGGACTCCAAGGGCCTCGGCATGATCTTGAAGGCTTCCAAGTCTGGGGCTGTTGTTGGTTCTCGGAAGTTCTGGAAGGGGGTGCAGCGCCACATGGGCTCCATGAAGATCCCGTACAAAGGCCACATGAGGAACCTTGGTCACGAGCTCACGGGGCCCAAGGTGATTCGAGGCATGGAAAAGAAGCGTCTCAAACAGCTCAGAGAGAGGAAGGCGAGGTTTTCCATGCTGAAGTCTGCTGTCGGCAAGGTCGCGACGGCTCTGTGGCGCACAGGCGCCCTCCCATCAGTGGCGCACGGTGCTGCAGTTGCTGGAGTAAGCGACGTTGCACTTCGAGAGTTGCGTCTTTTCGCCGCCGTCTTGAACGGCGCGCCAGGTAAGTTTAATACTGGTGTGACCGCCTACTTGGTTAGCCACAAGAGCGATTTCTACGATCCTATTTACCACGCCACTCTAGCCATTGTCATCAAGTTTGCGGAGTGGGTCTGGGACAGGAGAATACCCGACAGTCGCTTACATCGGGCTTGGGAGGCTCTTCGAGATAAGATTGGCACACTGTCTTGGGCAAATACTCGGGGCCCGATCGGGGCCTGTTGGCTGACCTTACGACGTATTGGGTGGAATCTAGTATCTAGTCATATGGTGGCTGATGATGTAGGCAACGTTTTCGATTTGCGAGTTATGTGCCCTGCCGACCTGAAGGTCTTCCTCACTCAGGGGATCCAGCGTTGGCAGGACGAGCGGCTGCTCAAGCATTTTTATACTGCTGAGCCTGGCGAGCAGATATGGCACCGAGGCTTACGTAACTCGGTGAAGAGCATCAAGTGCGTTCGTAGACTCGGGGCCCTCCAAGCGCACTGGTCGGGAAACCTCCCCATCCCTCAGCTCCAAGATGCCCGCCATAAGGTACCAATCAGGCCGTGTGCTGCTTGTGGGGCCCAGTCTCAGGGTATTTGGGGCCACGTGCTCTACGACTGCCCCGAGCTGCTCAAGCAGCGCGAGGACTTCTTGGACATCTCAGAGGACTTGGAGGCAACCAGAGGCATGCTCCTGAAGGGGGGCGAATGGTATGATGGGCGTCTGGCTTGGGACTCCAGTTATCTGGTCTTCGGGGTCCCTGCTCCTCCTGTGGGTATTCCTGGGCTCGACACTATAAGCACGGAAGTTCTTCTTTGGGGCGATACCGACGGGCCTTGGGGCCCCAAGAGCTACACCGACGGCTCGGGCCTCGCATCCAGCGTTCCAGAGACTAGGCGGTGTGGGTATTCATGCATCCAGCTGGACCCCAAGACTCTTTTGCCTGTCCGTGCTGTGTACGGACCCCTGCCCTTCTATGTGCAGACTGTTGGCCGTGCTGAGAGATATGCGATCAAAATGGGTTTGGAATTTCATCCAGATCACGAGCTGTTTGTGTCTGACCTCCTGGGACTGGTTACCGAGGGCAACTCATGGGACCAATCCCTCCAGCATGGCCGAGGCAAGCACGCCAGGATATGGCGAGAGATTTTTCAGGCTGCGCAGCGTCGGGTACTTGAGTACCCTGTTCGTTTTGAGTGGACTCCTGCACACCGTGACATCGACAGTGTGCTGGAGAATCCTGAAGAGGTGGAGAACTGGCTCGGCAATGCCTGGGCTGACTATTTCGCCAAGGCGGGCGCGGCGCACCACATGCTCGCCAACACGGTTTCCCAGTCGCTCTCGGAGGCCCTGAAGGTCCATAAGGCCACGTTGCAGTTTGTGTCTTGGGCGTGCTTACGGGTTATCGTCTCGGAGAGCTGGGGCCGAGGTCCCCCACCACCTGTCCAGGATCCTGAGGCTCGTGAGATCCTGGGGCAGCCAGTCGTATTCGGACGGGGTTCTGACCATGAGCTTTGGTGGTGCAAGAGGCTCAACGAGCACAGGTGCAGGAGTTGCGGGAGATCGGCTCGATCGGACTCGACCCTAGCGTGGCTTAGGACGGGGTCGGGAAGGAGATGTGAGCCCTCTAGCCTCCAGAGGGTAGCCTGTGCGGAATGGTTTAAGAATTCGGTGGAGGTCTGGGTCAAAGTGTCGGACCCCCGCGTCGCCCCGTCGCAGGTGATTGTCGCGGAGTTTCTTGGGGAAGGGCCCTCAGAGGCCTCGGAGGGTCCCCTTCCTGGGCCCACGGACCCTCCCCAGGAGCCTGCCGTAGGCGAGGTTTCAAACAGTTCGGGGTCGAACGAGTTCATTGCTGAATTTGCGGCATTGGGCCATGACGTTTTTTGTGTGAATTCAGTCTACTGCTGCCGCAGGTGTGCGGGCACGACGACCCTCGAGACGTCACGGAGCGTTCGGAAGCTCCGTCGTCCCTGTGCTGGGCTCTCAGAGAATCCGAGCACGAGGGCTAATCAGCTGGGGTTGATCGACAGGATCTTCCACGGCCGACCAGGGCGCCCCAAGCGCCCCGAGGGCAAGGCGCAGACGTAACGTGTCTCGCCCTCCTGGGAGCGGTTTTGTGGCGTCGGTTTTCCCTGGCCCCCGCCTGCCCTCCCAGTTCATAATATTTCCGCCGCGTTGCGGCCCTCAGGGTCCCATCTGTTCCTGAGGCGTGTTCGGATCGGACGCGCTCTCGGTGGCCCTCACCCTCACCCTCCTCCTCCTCCTCCTCCTCCTCCTCCTCCTCCTCCTCCTCTTTCTCGTCCTCATCCGCCTCCTCTTCCTCCTCGATCTCCTCGTCCTCCGCCTCCACCTCCTGCGCCTCGGGGGGCAGGCGGCGCCACCCGGCGACGGCGACCAAGACGGCCAGAGAGCCGTGCGTTTTCTTGGGCAGCCATCCTCTCCTCCTGTCTGGTGTACGGTGGGGGGCGGAAAAGAGGGGGGTGATGACTAGGGGGGGGGGATATCATGGCGGGGGCCATGATATTTCCCCAGATTTCATGGCGCCTCTTCTTATTTCGTTACGTCCCTGGCCCCCCCCCTGGGCCGCACACGTGCCGCCGGCCATGATTTGCACCCCCCCCTCTTTGACGCCCCCCCTCTTGGCCGCTCCCAATACAGTGGGGGCCGATCCGCAAGTTTTTGGACGGTCCTGGACCGTTTTCTGGTGGTCCTGAAGCCCAGCGAGGGCCCCCTGTAGGCCGAAGATACAGAAAAAACGCCCGTCGTGATTTTTGCACGGCGCGAGGGGGGTCTGAGGCCGCCGCCATCCGGCGGCAGCGTCGGCGCCGCGGCGCTCCGTAGGCTCCGTGGCCTCGCGGCGAGGCCGCCGCCCCCAGCAGCGCACGCGAGCAGCGCGGCCGCGCACGCGAGCAGCGCCCTGGGCGCCAGGGGCACCGGAGCCGCGGCCTCGGAGGAGAACAACACAACGCAAGCACAATGCAAAGAAGTGTCGAAACAGCGTCCCTCCTCCCTCCTCCCTCCTCCTCCTCCTCCTCCTCTCTCTGTCCTCCTCCTCCTCCTCCTCCTCCTCCTCCTCCTCCTCCTCCTCCTCCTCCTCCTCCTCTGTCCTCCTCCCTCCGGAGCCGCGGCCTCGGCTTCTGCTTTAGGTCGGGCATGTCCTCCTACAGTGGGGGCCGATCCACACGAAGCCTTCCACAAGAAGCCCAACCCTGAGACCCCAGGACGTCCACTGATTTTTGGTGTGGGAGCGTCACGCTCTCCACCGTAAAGCCATCGAAGCCCAAGACACACAGGGCGCCCTGGAGGCAAGCAGGGTGTTTCTTGGCATGGGTCTCCACTGTAGTGATGGATTTGCCGAGGTGGCCGCTTGGGCCGTTCCGTCCTAGCCAGATGAATTTTCGTCGGACCTGTCGGAGGCGTTTTGAAGGCGGTTTTGGGGTGTCTTGGGGGCTTCTCCAGGGTCTCTTGGGGGCCTTTCGGGGCCCGATTTGGGCTTTTCTGGGGCCTCCTGGAGCTGTCGGGAGGCTCTTGGGGGCCTCCTGGCGGTCTCGGTGGCCGTCTTGGGGCTGATGGCTCAAAATTTTGGTTCGCGTTTCCCCTCTGGGGCCCCTCTTGGGGCCGTCTTGGGACGTCTTAGTGGCTTCATGGGCTGTCTTCAGGGCCCTCTTGGGCCGTCTTGGGGCCCTCTTGGGAGCTTCTTGGGCCATCTTGGGGCGATCTCGGGAGCCTCTTGGGCCGTCTTGGTCGGTCGGAAACCCGACAGGGCGACAGTGCTAGAATCTTTTCAAAACCTTGGTATCATCAATGATTCCGGCCTCGTGGGGACTTCTTGGGGGCCTCTTGGAACATGTCGGGCATCTTGGGGACCTCTTTCGGAGCGCTCTAGGGCCGACTCGGGGCCCTCTTGGACCGTTTCGGGGCCTCTTGGGGCCCTCTTGGCCCGTATTGGGGCCCCTCTTGGCTCCAGACATGTCGCGCGAGAACACGCCTCGGCATGCCCAGGCACGCAGGAAGCTTTTCGGAAAGCCGGCAAGTTTCAAGCAATCCAGCAGCTTGGGTCCGGGCCGTTTTTTATGAAGGGCTGAGGAGTCGAAGGACCTGAGGACACTCTAACTCGTGCCTCAAGGCACGGTGGCGGATATATGTATGTATATATATACATATATATATATATATATGCGGATATATGTGTATATATATATATGTATGTATATGTACACACAGTTAGAACAAACATATACACATGTATGTGTACATTCATATACAATCATGTACAACCATACGTGAATACATGTATACATACATACATGCACACACACATACACATACATATCTATATATATATATATATATATATATATATATATATATATATAGATGCATGCCTGTCGTTCCACTCTCAGCAGCGTTGCTGGCCGTCGATGTAATCGCTTCCCGTGGGTTCTTGGGCTGAAGAGTTCGCACAGGGCTTGCGGTTGGATCTCTTGTGGCCTGCTTTACAATATGCCTGGCAAGGCACTCTCGCCGAATTATTTATGGGAAGGGAACCTCCAGCGGTGCCCGTCCATATCTGTCTCGCCGTGCCCTGGCTTCTCTGGCTGCGCGGCCTGGGCCTGTTCACCGTGCCCTGGCTGTCCTGCTTGCCCGGGAGGCAAGCCAGCGCTGGCCTCGCCCGCGACGCTGGGCGCTATCGAGGAGAGTGCAGCGTCCAACGGGTCCTTCTGGACGCTCGTGCTGGTGAACGAAGTCTCGCTCCCGTCCCTCGTGTGCCTCTGGGTGTACTCAGGCTGGACAAAGGCTTGGTGAACTGGCGTTGGCGCCATGTTGGCAGCAGCAGTGCGGGCAGCGCCAGAGGCAGCTCCACCAGAGATGCGCCAGTGGGCGTGGGTCCGCTATGACGGCGAACGATTATGGTACCAACAGCTGATCTTGGGGCGTCGTGTGAGACCAGCGGCAGCGGCTAATCCCGCCAACCCTTACATAGTCGTGACCTGCCCCGTGGCCACCGACGACTACGAACAGGACTATTCGTCGGCGGACAGCGACATCCTGGGCATGAGATACTCAGGCGGCCGCACCGAGTGCCCCCATGACATCGCGGCTGGCAGCCCCTTCAGGCTTTGCAGCCTGCGCGTTGGAGAGCAGGCCGCCGTCGACCAGACCGCGGTGGACCAGCGCCAAGCGGCATTGGAGGCCAGCCGTCGACGGCAAGGATTAACTGGTTGCGGCCGCCGGTCGTCCCCAGGTGCTGGTCCATCGGGTGCTCCAGCAGTCGCTGCTCCTGGAGGTGTTCCGGGCGCTGCGCTGGTCGCCGTGGGCGGCGCCCCTGGGGGGAGGCGCCGAGGCCGCTGGCCGAGCGGAGGCCGCGGTAGCCCTGGCGCCTGCGGCGGCGACCTCCTCAAGGCCAGCAGCGGCGGCGGCCCCGCCTGGAGCTTCTGTCGTCGGAGCCGCGGCGCTCCCTAGGCCGACGTGGGCGCTGGTGGAGAGCACCGCGGCAGCCGGCGCGGGACGGTGATCGCGCCGCCAGCAGGGTCTCTGCGCTGAAGGTTCGATCGGCCACACGCCCTTCGTCGACGGCCCGTGGGTCGCCATCCGCTCCATCGCTGGCTCGTCTCAGGAGTTCGCTGGGCGCGAGGCAGCAGCTGATGCCCGCCTGATGGGGGTCCTCTCGAAACCCGTTGTGCCTGGCAGCCGCCTGCTTCGCCAGTGGTGCGATACCGTTGCTAGCTTCGCGGAGGAGAGCACCGTTGATTGGCGCATCCCTGGGCCAAGGACAGCCCTGCGGTGCGCCAAATCCATCGACCGAAGGCAAGGCGGCCTTCTCGACCACTTCTGCTTCTGGAAGGCCAGCGTCGCCCTCTCAGCCGAGGACTCCGGGGTGAACGACTGCGCGCCGAGCAGGCCTTGCGCACGCGCAAGATGTGCGAGTGCGTGCGCGCCATGGACCGCGACCCCCACAATGCATCTGGTGGAGGTGAGGTCGGCTCAGAGCATAACAAGAAGAAGAGCGGTTGTCGCGGTCGCGGCGCCGCTCGCCAGGGGCTCCTCAGCTTCGGGTTAATCGACGGGGGCGCGGCGTTCACTGGCCTGGGCCGAGGTATGGTGACAGCGTGATCAGCCCCTAGCTCCTCGAGCATGTGGCCGTGGAGATGGAGAGGGCCGCCTCCGCGTTGAAGCAAGTGCGCAGGGCCCGCGAAGAGCAGCGGGCCTTGCGATCATGGCGCTGTTCAGTCCACGCGAGTCGCCCCCCCCCCCCCGGCGACCCGCGCGCGTTCGGAGGGGGGCCTAGCAGCGGTCGCCCGCCATCTGCCAGCTAGTCATGGACAACCGCGTGGATCACGTCGCCACTGGCCTCGAGATATCTTTCCCTTGCCTGTTCTGCTTGGGCCAGTGCTTGCGCGCGCTCGGTACTTCGTCGCGGCCTCCGCCGAGCTCGCGCCGTTTGGCGTGGTCTCCGAAGTGGTGACCGCCCTGACCGGGGTCAACCTCGGCCAGTTTGGCGCCTCGGATGTCTGCCATCACCGCCCTCCTCGGGTCAGCAGCTCGCGCTGGATCGCGCCCGCGACGCTGTTCAACGCTTCGGCAAGCCGCCCGGGGGGCGGACTGGCCAAAGGGCCCTCGAGGAGCTCCGAGTACGCGCGACTGCGCAGGGGGGGTCCGCCATTATCGTTTCGCTTAGATTTGGGAGTATCAGCACTCTCTCTCTCTCTCTCTCTCTCTCTCTCCGTCTCCCTCTCTGTCCCTGTCTCTGTCCCTGTCTCCGCCTCTGCCTCTGTCTCTGTCTCTGTCTCTGTCTCTGTCTCTGTCTCTGTCTCTGTCTCTGTCTCTGTCTGCCTGCCTGCCTGCCTGCCTGCCTGTCTGTCTGTCTGTCTGTCTGTCTGTCTGTCTGTCTGTCTGTCTGTCTGTCTGTCTGTCTGTCTGTCTGTCTGTCTCTCTCTCTCTCTTTCTCTCTTTCTCGCTCTCGCCCCGTCGAGGAAGCATTTCCCGTGCCCGTGGAGAACAACGCGGGGGGGGGGGAATTGGCCGTGCCATGGCTGAGCGGCTTCAATCGATGATGTTGCCCCAGTCCGAGGGCCGGGCTCGCGCAGCGCCCGAAGGCCCCTCAGAGTTCCTCCCCTTGACTCTGCGAGCCTTCCCCCCAGTGTCGTCCACCCCCAGATTCACGACCGAATCTTTCAGGGGGCCCACAAGAGGACCAAGGTGGGGCTGCAGGACCACAACACGAGAGGACGAGACCATGGCCACCTTGTCCATCGAAATCTTCGCACACATCATGACGGTAATACCATGGTGGAGCGCATCACCCGCAGAAATCAGACCAGAAACGACCTGCTCCCCGGTCCCACAGCTTCCAGCCCCGAATCATCAATGTAGAGATTGAAAGTGACGTGGGGCGGGAGAGAGATGGAGTCGAGAGTGTCCAGCCCGAACACGCGAATCATCGTGGTGGCGAAACCACACCCCGCCACGACCCCATTGATAGCAAAAACTGGTGGCGCAACGACAGGGGCGAGGACCATAAACCGCGCTGACCGATAGGCCGCGAGGCAGACCGCAGCCACGGTCGAGTTAAACGCATGTGCGTGACAGCGGCGTTCGAGCAGTTCGAGCGGGATTTGCTGGTAGTGCTTCAGCATTTCCCACAGGATCGTGGCGGCATCATCCCCGCGATTGACCCCCGCTTCTGGATGAAGACGCCGCCTCCAGACGGCATCCTGGGCCCCCTTTGAACTTCCCCGCGGCCCCATCGGGCCGCTCGCGGGCGGCCTCCCACTCCAAGGCGAAGAGCCTCCGACTCGTGGCCCCCAGCCGGCAGGGGCTGCTTGACGACCCCGATGGGCCGGAGACCCCGCAGAAGGCTTTAGTCAACAGGGCAGCGATGCAAGCCCGAAGCGGCATCGGAAGCATGCCGGCGGCTTCAGCCAGAACCACAGCCGGTAGGGGCTGCTGACGACCCCGATGGGTCGGAAACCCGCAGAAGGCTCAGTCAACAGGGCAACGATGCAGGCCCGAAGCGGCATCGGAAGCATGCCAGCGGCTTCAGCCAGAACGAACATACGAGCCAGAGCGACCAGCGCCCCGTCCGACATGTAGGCATAGTGACGCATATGGGAGCCGTCCAGCCCAACGTCCGTGCGCTTACATAATTTCCTCGACACACGTCGAATATGATTGGGGTTGAGAAAGGGAAGAGGGGCCCCGAGGGTGCCTTTCACTTTCGGCTCGAGGGAGGTGGCCTGCCAAAGGCCCTCGAAACGACGGGACTCAGCCCTCAACAATTCCCTGGGTTCAGAAACAACAGCCCCGAATCTGGACAAAGTGGTCGTGGGCCTCCAAGCCACTGGGTCAACCGTGACTTTGTGCACCCTCCTGGCCCCGCAATTCACCCCTTCCATTAACCATGCCTTCCAGTCCTTAGCCGACTGGTTCTTGTAGAAGTCGTTGGTTTTTGCGAGCCGTGCTGCTACCTTAGCCCGCAAGTCGAGGACGCGCTGCAAAGCGGAGTCCTTAGCCCTTAGCACCAGGGTCCGAGCAGCCGTGCCATGTGCCCACAAGCGACTGCACCTCGGCAAAAAGATCGGCATGATCACCCTGGTTAGACACGATAAGAGAGGGAGGAGAAAGAAGTAAGCCTCGGTGCGTGGTGGGATCCCTGCCACTGGCCTCGCTCCCCTACCAGGGCACAAACAACCGAGTGAAGCCAGCGCACCGCGTGCAAAATAGGGTACCTTAGTATGTATGTATGTATGTACGTATGTATGTATGCATGCATGCATGCATGCATGTATATGTATGTATGTATGTATGTATGTATGTATGTATGTATGTATGTATGTATGTATGTATGTATGTATGTATGTATGTATGTATGTATGCATGCATGCATGCATGCATGCATGTATGTATGTATGTATGTGTATGTATGTATGTATGTATGTATGTATGTATGTATGTATGTATGTATGTATGTATGTATGTATGTATGTATGTATGTATGTGCGTATGTGTGTGTACATATATAAACGAACGTGCGCGGCGCTCGGGCGAGAGCCACTTCCTGAAGACCACCCGGCCTCCACCCGTGAAGCTCTTGCAGTGTTTCGGACGGATGGCCGCGGCGCCAAGGCGACAGCCCCATCTTGAAAGCGACCCATTTTCATTCCGCACGACTCTTGCACATGTTTAACACGAGTGCGCGCGGCGTTAAGGTGAATGCAATTTTTTCAAAAGGACCCGCCCTCAATCCGTGAAGCTCCTGCAGTTGTTTGAACCACATGTGCTCGGCGCTCAGGCGAGAGCTATATGTTGAAAACGGCGCCCGCCCTCCATTTGTGAAGCTGTTGTCAGCTTTGAGGCTTCATGCTCATGAGTAGTAGGGAAATCTCAGGCGAAACGCCCCGCCCGCCCTTCCGACTTGCATCGCGGTGCGACAGAGCGAAGTGATTCATAAGGAAAAAGAGGAGGAGGACGAGGAGGACGAGGAGGAGGAGTAGGAGGAGGGACGAAGGAGGATGGGAGGAGGGACGGGGGGGGAGGGACAGGTGGAGGAGGGATTTGGGATAGGAGGTTGAGGATGAGAGAGGAGCATGGGCGTCGCTCAGGAGGAACAGGCTGAGGGTGAGGATGAGGATTATGACTAGTTTTTGTATAAGTAGGAGGAAGAGGAGGAGGAGGAGGAGGAGGAGGAGGAGGAGGAGGAGGAGGAGGAGGAGGAGGAAGAGGAGGAGGAGGGAAGGGAGGGCCGTGGGGGGGAGGACGGGAGCGTCGCGTTGCTGGCCCCCCAGGTCAACGGCATCAACGCCCAGATCAGCGCCCTGATGGGTCTCGAGGGGTCCCGGCGGGCGAGAATCGAGGATTCATGAATTCGAGGATCGAGGGCCGATTTCTTCATGTGTGGTTTTCGACCCGCCCCGGGCCCCCGGAGGCCTCCTGGGTTTCAGCACACCCACAAACCTTGAGAGACCTCCGGAGTCTTGTGGGAATCTCCTGGGGACCTCCGACGACCACCAGCGGAGACCTCGTGAGCCCTCCGGACCTCCAGATCCGCGTTTTGTCATGGATCTCCAGGGGGGCGGGTGGCCATTATCTCCCCGCCGTCCTCGTCATTTTCCTCTTCGTCGTCCCGCTGCTTTTCCTCTTCCTCCTCCTACGTACTCTCCTCCTACTCCTCGGCCCTCCTCCCCCTTCTCCTTCCGACACTCCTGCTGCCTTCCAACCTTGGTCTTGTTGGTATTATCGTTGGCTTCACTGGGTCGAGCCGCATCTGGCCCCAACATTGTTCCTGTCAAGTGATAACATGTGGGCCGTACATAGCGGCACTGGCCCAAGGAGCTCTCATTGTCAAGCGATACACTGCGGTGCGCATGCGTTGGTATCACAAGTGGGTGTCTGCAAGCATCCAACCGAGTAATTTCATGCGGCCACACGCGCTGATACACAACCAAGTAAGGGAACCCTTGTTTTCAGCACTTCACGTGGACACCCACATTGGTGTTTCCCTGGGACGCGTATCAGTTTTTCTGTGCGCGCGCACTTGGCAACATCATGGTGAGGCCACCACCTGCATCCCACCCATCGCATGTTGGCGAGCCCTGCTTTTCAACTGCGTCCCACTGCCCTCGCCATCCCGATGAGGGTCTGCGCCGGCCGCCTCCGCGGGACACTTCCGCCCCTCTTTCGGGAGCGGAAAAGAGGGGGGTGATGACCAGGGGGGGGGTGGATATCATGGCGGGTGCCATGATATTTCCCCAGATCTCATGGCGCTTCTTCTTATTCCATTACTTCCCTGGCCCCCCCGCTGGGCCGCGCACATGCCGCCGGTCATGATTTGCACACCCCCCCTCTTGGACACCCCCCTCTTGGCCGCTCCCGACTCTTGCACCCCTGCGCGCAGCGCGCAGCGCACGAGCGCGTCTGTCGCGAGGTAGGGCGCTGGCCCAGTTCGCCAGGCAGAGTGGGCGCGGTGCCGACGCGAGGCCCCATCTCGGCAGGCGCCGCGCGCTCGTGTCGTGCGCGATGGCTCTCGCACTTCGGCGTCCCGACTCGCCCGCCCGTCCCGCCCTGGCAGGGCCGCCCGCCCGACCCGTCTGGCAGGGCCCGCCCGCCCGACCCGCCCGCCCAGGTACTGCACCCCGCGCGATGTGTTTCCGCGCGCTTCGGGTCTCTCTTCGGGCGACTTCCCGTCGCTCGCCTCGGTCCTGGCCTCTGGGTGCGAAGGAGGAACTCCATGATGAGAAGGGTTTTCTTGGAGCAAGTCTGCATGAATGGGTGGGGGGGGGAGGCTCTGATGCAGCATCTCGGCAGTCAGTTGTCCTGCCAATCCCCAATCCTGCCAATCCTCTCCCCCTCCCCCTCCTCCCACTCCTTCTCCTCTTCGTTCTCCTCCTCTCTCCGCCTCTCCTTCTCTCCTCCTCCTCCTCCTCCTCCTCCTCCTCCTTCTCCTCCTTCCTCCTCCCCTTCTCCTTCTCCGCCCTCGCATGGTCGCTTGGTTGACGCTCCGCCTTCTCCGCACTGTGTGCCATGTGTTCCTCCTCCTCGTCCTCCTCCTGTTCCAGCGCGTCGTCCTAACCATCGTCGTCCTCCTCTTCGTCTTCCGTCGCGTCCTCCTTCCTCTCGCCCTCCTCGCTGTCCTCCTCGTAGCCATGGTCATCGTCTTCGTCGTCGTCCTCCCCATCATCCTGATGCCTTGCCCCTTTTTCACTCTCACCCTCTTCCTCCCCCCTCCCAGAACTCCCCAGTCCCTTTGAGAAGCTTCTAGGGCCCCTGAAGCGCCGCTCGTGCCCCCTGGCAGACCCTGGAGACTCCTCAAGCCCATCTCTGTCCCCTCCTGCCTTCTCACCCTCCTCGCTGCCCCTCCCATCCCCCTGCCCCTCCTCCCTCCTCCACACCTCCTCCCCCCCTCCTCCCCCCCCTCCTCCCCCCCCTCCTCCCCCCCCTCCTCCCTCCCCTCCTCCCCCTTCCTCCTCCCCCCCCGCCCCTCCTCCCACCCCTCCCCCCTCCTCCCTCTCTCCCCCCTCCTCCTCCGCTCCCCCCTCCCTTCCTCCCCAGACCTCCGACGTCGTGCTCTTTGCATCCAGTGTGGCCAAAGCCCTCGGCATGTCGTTTTGTCTCCTCGCGGGGCCGCTCGCTGATGGCTGCGAGGCCGAGGTGTCGCGGGCAGAGTCGCCCTCGTCGCGCTGTTTTGGGAGGAGGGGGAGGAGGAGGAGGAGGAGGAGGAGGAGGAGGAGGAGGAGGAGGAGGAGGAGGAGGAGGAGGAGGAGGAGGAGGAGGAGGAGGAGGAGGACCAGCGGAGGGAGAGGAGGGAGGGAGGAGCATCAGAGGAGGACAGGGCACGGCAGGTTCGCGTCGTGTCGACCGGTGGCGACCCCGCCGCGCCGGCGACCCCGCCGCGAACGCTGCTGGCGACCCAGAGCCGGTCGATGTTGAACGACCTGACGCTTCGGAAACCGCCAATCGTTCAAGGTTCAACCCCAGACATGCGACGTCCTGATTTTTTCAGGACGGCGTCCCCTGAAGTCCCGACCCTTTCCCCATGTTTCGGAAACCGCCGCTCGTTCAAGGTTTAGTGTGAAGTCGGGCCTGTCCCTCTACAGGGAGGATGGTCAAAGATAGTCAGAAATAGTCTGGGGACGATGTTTTGACAATTTTTGAATATGTTTTTTTTGTTTTGTTTTAGTATTTTCATTTTTCGCCCAAAATCCCCCTGTGGGGGGACACGCCCGACTTAGGTTTAGTCCCGGGGGCCAGTTTTCTTCCCGCGTCGTTTTTTGACGCTACCGGGGCCTGTCGAGGGCCGCCAGGGGCCGGAAATAGCGACAAACTGGCCGTCCTGATTTTTCGACGGCGCGATCCTGTCTGGGCAAGGTTTAGTGACCCCTGCGGTGTCAGGGACCAGCGCCGGGGTCGACGCGGCACGAGCCCGCCGGGCCGCTGCCGCGGCGCTTCCCGCGTCGCAGGGGCCGGGAGTCGCCTCGGAGTCCCGGCCAGAAGGCGCTCTGAGAGAGGTCCGGGGGGTATTTCACCACCCACCAAATCACCCCAACCCAACCCGCAGGCCTCAGTTTGCCCTCCATTTCCAGTGGGGGGGGGTCGGGGAACATTGAAAAAACACAGATGGAACCCTTACCCCCCCCCAACCCGAAATTCGAGTCTTCGGGTTGGGTTGGGGTGGTCTGGTAGGTAGTCAGTATTGGCGGGGGCGGCAGAGAGGGGGACGTTCGCTCGCACTTCGGCGACGACCCTGGGAGAATCAGCGCCAGCACGACCTTCGACCATCGGCGCAGCGGAGCGCGGCAGCCGCGGCCCGCTCGGCAAGACGTGCAGGACCCTGGCCTCCGCCCGGCGGGCCCTTCGACGACGCGCGAGCGCGCGTTCCGCGCGCGAGCGCGCGCGCCCCGCGCGGGGAGCGCCTCCTCCCTCGCTCGGGGGCGGCAAAGAGGGGGTGATGACCAGGGGGGGGGGGATATCATGGCGGGAGCGATGATACTTCCCCAGGTTCCACGGCGCCTCTCCTTATTTCATTACGTCCATGGCCCCCCCGCTGGGCCGCGCACGTGCCGCCGGTCATGATTTGCACCCCCCCCTCTTGGACACCCCCCTCTTGGTCGCTCCCGATGTTAAGTCGGGCCTGTCCCTCTACAGGGGGGAAGTTCAAAAGTAGTCAAAACATAGTCTGGGGACGATTATTTTTTGACCATTTTGGAGCATTTTTGTTGTATTGCTTATTTCGTTCAAAATCCCCCTGGAGGGGGGCAGGCCCGACATAAGGGGAGTAGCGGTGTGGATGTCTTTCTCTTTCCCCAGATGAGCAGTGGGAAACCGACCCCAGCCCCCACAACAATGATTTTTTCCAGTTCAACGTTGCGTATGTGTAGGCGCCCTGTAACCGAGGCCATTGCCAGCCGCCGCAGGGGGGGAGGGCCCGCGCGCGCGGTCTAGTTGGTCTAAAATTCCTCATGTTGGGGGCGGGGGTAGGTTGTCATACGTTCACCAGAGGGGGCCCGAGGGAGAGAAGGAGAGGGATAGGGGGCCCTGTGGCCTTGTGGGCCTCAGGGTGGGAGGGAGGGGCAAGATTGGTGCGTTCGCGCCACATTTGATGTCCTGTTTTTCCCCACCGTCCCTTCTACATATTGCGCCGATTTTTTCTCTATCCGCGGACGCACGGCATAGCCGACCTGGAACTCTTCAAGAAAACCCCATGGCGTTATGCGCAATCGGAGAAGGATAGCCTCGTACACAGGCGTTTTTTTGCTGTTGAGCTGCTCTGCCTCCCGCCTCCCGGCCTCCTGGGTCCTGGGTGAGCCAGTCAGCCGTCGAGCCCCGCACCGAAAGAGCCCGTGCCAGACGCGCGTATGCATCAGCGTGCCGACGTTCCGCGCCTGCGCCCCCGCAGCAGGTGACAGAAAGACAGGGCGGGTGGAAGAAGCGGAGGAGGACGAGGAGGACGAGGAAGACGAGGAGGACGAGGACGAGGACGAGGACGAGGAGGAGGAGGAGGAGGAGGAGGAGGAGGAGGAG